GTGGAACTGGGGATTGAACTCAGGCCCTTGCGCTTGCCAGGCAAGTGCTTATTCTACTGAGCTATCTCCCCAGCCCGTACTTATTCTTCTTGAACTACTCCTTTTTTTTTCCTGCTGAACCAGAGATTGCACTCAGGCCCCTGTGCCTTATTCTACTGAGCTATCTCCCTGGCCCCTTGAACTAATCTTAAACAAGGAAGATTAAGCCCCAGTGAGGACTTTGGGGGTGGGGGGCAAGGTTTCACTGTGTAATTCTTTTTTATTTTCAAGACAGGGTCTCCCTATGCAGGTCAGGTTAGCCTTGAGCTCACTCTGATCCTCCTACCTCAGCCGCCCCAGTGCTGGGACTACAAGTGTGTACCAGCACACCTGGCTAGACACTTACAACCAGGTTGAAGTTTCCTATTTTCTTGGACTCAAGGACAAATAGGGGTTTTCTGTACATGTTTCTAATCCTTCTAAGCTTAACCACATAAGCCACGTCTACAAAAAATAAAGTTTCTCTTGGGTGTGTTAAGTTAAATATCAATTAATGTTAAAATTTATAATGTATATCAATCATGGGCTACCAGCAAATCACCACCAGCCCCTCACCTCTGGAATTTGCAATCTGAAGCGATGTGTCCAGCCCCTCCACACTTGGTACACACTGTAGTGTTTGTAATGCTGCGGGTCTCTGAGCTCTGCCAGGGTCTTAAGATCCTGATGAAGAAAAAAACAAAACAAAACATAAACTCTAGGCTATGGATGACCTTTCTGCTTCCAGATTCTTCAGATCTCTGCAAACTCTACACTGAACACTACCTGTTGTCATCTTCCCGGAGGGTGCCATTCAAGCGAGCCAATTCTCGAAGCTGCATCTTCCGTAGATCATTCTGGTCCTCTGGTGTCTCAATGCCTTGCTTTAGAATGTTTCTGATCTAGTGAAGACAAAATGAGATAGTTAATTGCACAAGTGCTTGGGCCATCACCTAGATTTCTGGCAAGAGGCTTGCTTTCTCGGCTCCTCACTCACCTGTTCTACTGCCTTTTTGACATTCTCCATTGTATTGGCAGTGACTAGAGCATGAAGTGGCTCATCTTCTCCTGGCAACATCTGACCATCTTTGCGTCCAACCTTGCCTTCTTTCACAGATCCTTTCCCCCGGATCATGATTTTGGCATTGCACTCCTTCTCAATGTTCTTCAGGGTGTTCCCTCTAATATGGAAAGAAAGCTCTGAGTTTATACCTAATACACAAGTTCATACTGGGGGGGGGGGGGCCTGCGGGTCAAAAGCTAAGTAGGCACTAGTGGAAAAACTGAAAATACAGACTAGACTGCTCCAAGGATTCTGTGACCTCTAAGTTAAGGCCAGATGCAGCATATCTGAGGATTTCATTTCTCTGAAGTAAAGGAGAAGTGTTACCTACTCTTCAGGTATAATTCAAAGTGAATCCTATCAAAAAATATACAGGTAAACCAATGCCATCCAATTAGGGACCAACAGATTCTAAGGAATCTTAAACCCCTTCCCCAGGCCAGTAGTGACAAATCTATGACATACATGTTGTTTTTAAGACAAAAGATGTTAATGTATGAATTCTTTTTTTTTTTAATTTTTTTTTTTTTTTGTGTGTGTGTGGCCAGCTCAGCCCGCCTGGGGGTGGGGCTGGCTGGCATGTGGTGCTGGGGAATTGAACAGCAGTCCCTGTGCTTTGCTAAGGTTGTTCTAAGTAGGTGCTTTAGACCACTGAGCCATCTCATCAGCCCAAAAGGCAGAAGGGTTTTTTTTTCTTTTTGCTCCAAATGCCTTCAGGGCATGATTGGCTGGCTTGAGTTGTGGGAATCAAACCACAGCAACCTGAGCCTGACTGCTTTGTTGAAGCAGCTACTTAAAGAAGTGAGCTAAGAAGCAGGCCCCCTCTTTTTATTTTTAAACTAAAACCTCAGTATTGTTTAATTTCAGGGTTGGTACTTTGCAATAAATAAAATGGGTTCTGGGTTCCAGTTTTAGTCTAAAATGTTTGCCATCACTGCCCATGGATTATTACTCACCTGGGTCCAATTAGCAGGCCTACGAAGTTGATTTCCGGATATTCATCTTGGGGAATCATTACTTTATCGCTCACGCGTGTTGCTGGAGGTCTATGAAGAAAAGACTGTCACCAACTTCACATTTCTAAAATGAATAATCTAGTTCTCCTAGAGCTAACCACTAATATAATGTGCTATTTATTGGTGATTTAGGCCAAGAAGTAAACAGTACCAACATTGGCCTGTATGTATCCTTATCCTTATTCTAAACAACCTAACCCTTCTGCTTACTTGTAATCTGCAGGTGGTTTGAAATCAGGGTTGAGGGCAACCATTTCTGTGATGAGGTTGTGCCGTTCCTCTTCAAGCTTCTTGCGGGTACGGAACTCCCGAGTGTTAAGCCGCTTCCCCTCGCTATTGTAGATGGGCTCAGGGGAAGGGGACCTGTGGAAAACAGACCCTCATTACTGCTCTGCTCCTACTCTCCTCATTCCCATATGGACTATAACACGCCTTCCCAGCCCCTCTGCCTCTCAGACCCTAACAACACTCTTCGGAGGAACCGACCGTAACGTGTGCTATTCAAGATCGTGTGGAATGGGGAGATGGATGCTGGCTGATTAGCATTATGGGCACTGGGGTGTGAAAAGAAAAAAACAAAACAAAAAAAAAGGGTTTCCATCTAAAAGTGATAAGGGGGGGAAAAAAAGTCCATCCTTCAAGGGGAAATCTTTGGACTGTAAAGACTATATCACCCTCTGGAATCTTCTTGCCAAATACCAATTTTTATTTGAAAAAATAAAAAAAGTATCCCAAACACGATGAACCACAGAAACCCGGAGTCTAGGTGTAATGTGAACTCGTGGAGAGCTCGTGCCTATCAGGAAGAGCATCTGTACCCCTGACAGAGTGAGCACAAGCTCTTTCACCCATAGCAGCTGGACTCAAGCTATTGCAGCTAGTTGGCCCCCACAATGGAGAGAGATGGTTCAAGGCTTCGTCTCTGCTTTTCCTTCAATGGCCTGGTTGGCTGTGTCCAAGGCCCAGGAGACAACCTGTTTCTGGCTGTTCAAGGTGGGGAGTCTGGGTAGAGAAAACCGTTAAAATTGCTAAAGCAGCTTCTGCAAGAGGCTGCAAATGCAGACTTGGTCAAATACTTGTCTAGGGTCTGAACCTGCCAACAGCAAGGGGAAAACCTATAATTCTCCGCCAAAGTTTAAGTCTAGAAAGCAGATTTTTCTCTCTCATTAATTAAAGGAGTAAAATGCTGATGCTATAAGCAAAAAAAAAAAAAAAAAAAAAAAATAGTAATAATAAAATGGTCAGTTTACCACAGCTGGATTTTGCGGTAATAAAAAAAGAGAAGTTACACTCCTAGAATTCTGAGTTAAGATTACAAAAAGGACCATAGCTTGATATTCTGTATGAAAATTTAGTAGCAGCTGCAAGAAGGGAAGAGACCATGTGGATCACGTTATTAAAAAAACAACCTGGAAGTAGTCCAGACTCCTATACCCTTGGTTTAGTTGAGAACCTTGCCTAGTTGGAGAGCAAGGACTGAACTCGGCTGCTCCCACTGTCTTCAGCCTAAAGGGAACCATGTCATACCACGTTACACACACGATGGAATAAAAGGTCAGGTTTGTTCATGGCTAATGACGACTAAATGACACCTCCGTTTCTAGCATTTATATACGCTGTTAACACAATCCAGATAGTAAACACAAGCAAACATACCCCAGCTCATTAGACTACCATCTTACACATTTAAGCCTACAAGAGATTTTAAAACATTTTTAACTGTGCATGTTAAGCATCATCAAAATCATGAGTGGCTTAATTTTAAAATACACCTTCTTATGGAATAATCTTATTAAGGTAAGAAACTCATGCATTTCCCTCCAACCTGGGCTCAAAAGCAAAACCAACCAGGCATTGAGGACTCTTTCAAAAGTGAATGCAAGGAAGGAAAAACCCTGCTCTCGTTTTATTTCTAACACACTTGACAATTTTTCTGCCCACCCAGGGTGTTTCTGGCTAATCACCAAACAAGCTGTACCAGTACCAAATTGACCATTGAAAGGCCTCACAACAGTTTAACCTCTTCCCAAATTATGGAAGTGAAAGGCAAAAGCTCATAATCTAGAGATTAGACTGGCCGGACTTCTTCACCTAGAATAGGCATTGGGTAAATCAACTAAATTTTAATCCCAGTTCTCCAGGAAGCAAAGAAGGTTTGTTAAAAACTCAACCTTTGGAGGAATTGCCTGGTAACCTGTAGACATGTTAAGGGGAGAAGGCCAGAAAGGAACTAAACAGTTGTGGTCTATGATCTACAACGTTAATTTCTTTAGGGGGGAAAAAAAAAAATCAAGTCAAAAAGAAATGTAAAACACAACACAACCTTCCAACCAAAATTACTGGTAAAAATGTAACAAATTTAGTAAATAAAATTAAAGCATCAATATGGTGAAATGAGGTTAATTTGTTTCCTGGCAAAAGGCAGCAGAAAGATGCATGTGATTTCTAAAGCCATTACATCACCTTTCTGCTTGAATGAGCCATTGCATTTGTAACAAAAGCCACAGATACTTTTTAAAGCAAAGTCTTTTCAACTATGCTACATTAACAGAGATATTTCACTGAAAGGAAGAGGCTTATTCTTCCATTAAATGACTAAATTTTAGCTATTCAGCAATCAGCCAATAAAACTGAAATTGAAAAAGTTCATCTCCCTCACATAAACTTATCACTTTTTCAAAGGTGCTAGTAAATTATTAATTGAATGAAATGACATGACCACAGCTGTTTGAGGCCCACATTCCTTTTTTTTTTAAAGTGTAATTTATGGTTGGTTGCTTGCCTTCCCAAAACAGGTGATAATATTCTGGCCCCTCCCAAAACCTCCAGGCAATGGCCATGGCTGAAAATTAATTGGCAGTGAAGGAAGTTGGTTAGAAATCTCATCTGATTTTAAAACCACCTCAAAACCATGAGCAGGAAGACTGCGCAATGAGCTGGCCAGCGTTTCTGGCCCTCTCAAATTCAGTGATGCTCAAAAATACTCTTAACACCTGCATCATGTACCTGTGAGAAAAACTGCCCCATGGGCTTTCAGCCAAAGCAGGCACTGAAAAGGCAGATTAATGCCACCTCTCTCTCCCTAGGGGTAGGTAAAACAGGTTAAAATCTACACGCTTACCAATTGGAAACCAGTTGTGCATTTCCATTAACTTTATGTTCTCCCAACAATTAAGTCTCATTCCAATTCTCTAACTGTTGACTGACCATATATATTGCTATTTTACCCCTAGTCCCCAAAATGGTCAGAACACCAGTTGTCTTAACTATAATTTTAATGAACTGACACAACATGTTGCCACCAGTAAAACGTATTGAGAAAAAGGTAAAAAGCGTTACTGTCAGCTGGTTAAAACTGTTTCCCAACCTGTCCTCAGGGTTAGGGGGGATGCCCAGGTCTCCTGTGCGCAGTTTACGAGTCAGGTCTTCTATCTGCAGTTGCACTGGAAGAAACCAGGTTAGGAAAGAAAAAAAAGGATGGAAAAAAGACAATGTTACCAAAAAACATCTCAAATCTCAACAATAAGCATGAAGAACTCGGAGACTTTGAAAGGGACGATTGATCAGTGACACAATGAGGCAAATCCCCCAACCTCCTAGCAGCAGGAGTCCATTTACATCTATACGTATTTTTCACTTCAAAATGGTTATCACTTTAGGAAGCAAACAGTTTGTTGGAAGAGGGGTTAGCAGTAGACTGTTCACTAAGGCTAGTATCAAAGCAATTATCAAGAGGTGTTCACCTCTCCCTGCCCATTGATGTTTACTTACAACTAGTGACCAGAACCAACACCATATATGGTATCACCCATCAGTACCTGGTTCTCACCAAATTACTTGAGGGGAAGACTTTGAGAGTTTTCTTTATTAAACATACCCCCAAATGAGACCCAATTAACAAGGGACAAGGAAAAATACCAGTTGAGCAAAGACAATTTTCAGTGAGACCAAGTTTAAAATTCCTTTAACAAGACATTCAATGACCAATTTGACATGTTAAGATTATTTGTACATACACTTTCTGTACCACCAGACCTGCACTAGTAAGGGTCTCCCAATACCTCCAGCTTTTATTCAAACATTAAATGACAGACCATTATCTTCATAAACCAGTAAGTATAAAGTGCTAGGAGTTTAATTAATCTCAGACCTGCTATGGATATGGGGAGTAGTGTGCAAAGGATGAAAAGTATGGCAAGGAGAATGCTATATGGTCCTCAGGCCTTGACCTGAGACTATACAGGAGAGAAAGATGAGGGCTTCACAGAAGTTGCCAGTGATTTCAGGGGAAATAGTGACACAGCTGATTTACTGCAGAGCCAGAGTGGCTTTCTCCAACATGCTAAATAACCACCTCTTTCTTACCTTTTGTAGCATCTCAAAATTCTGAGCAGGCATCTCTAATGAGAATAAGTCTTACTAGGTTGGGTTTAAACTGAGCTAGCAGGGGCCAGGGAGATGGCTCAATAGAACAAGTGCTTCCCTGGCAAGCGCAAGGGTCTGAGCTCAATCCCAGGTTCCACCAAAAAAAATAAACTGAGCTAGCTCCAAAAAAAAATTAATACACAACTAACCCAGCATCTTTCTTTAAATTCAACCCACAAGGTTCTACCATACACTCACATCAAAACCCCAAGGAAACACAAAATTAATAGGGGCATTCTGAGCAAACTGTGCACCATCAGAGTCAAAATACATAAGACATCTAAATCCCCAAGTTCCTTTACGTCAAACAAATTCTGGCTTTGCAATCAAATACTAAGCTTAACACAGGTAAGTTACTTTCATTGAGTAGTCTTCTTAAGGGGATGGGGGTCTGAGCTGAATAGCTGATACTAAAGATTAAATCAAAAAGGATTGCTATCTTCCCCAAAGCAGAGACATATGTCAGCCTCTACTTTGATTCTGTCAACTTCAATGAAGACTAGACATAGCTCTTAATGGTCACATGCCTAACTGAGCCTCCAATGGAAGATACATGAAGCGTAAGTTTTGTTTCCCCCATTTCCTAAGTGTGCTTATGTTCTTCAAACATGACTCTAAGCTGTGAAGTCTCCTGGTAGTCGTTGAGATATTAAGGGGATGGATGGAAGTAGACAGAACAATGCAGAAACAAGCATTAGTAGTACTATAAAGAGAAGACAGACAATTCCAATGCCTCAAATTTCACAACCATCTAAACCCCAGGAAATTAAGATCCTTCACAATCAGATCATGCTGTCTTAAAGCTTTATGCTAAAGCCAGTCTCACAGAATCAGAACTGTCTTTGCCTTAATTTCTCTAACAGCTACTAGGTTAGTAAGAAATGTTCATCAAGTGTACTTTTTTGAGATAGCTGCATTACATATGTAAATATAAAACTTATATTAAAGACCTTGTAGTTTTCTTTTTAAAGCAATTTTGAGGCTAATGTCAATTCCACTGTGGATAGTCACTCTTAATGTTTGAACTCTCTGCAGAGAACGCTCATCCTACTATCTCATTCTGTATCAAGCAATATCCCCTTTCCAACAGAGTTCTTTAATAGTAAAAGTAAGAGCCTTCATGTTAAGACAGCTCTCCAAAGACCAAACCAGAAAAATGTTGACAGGAAGGTTAAATTCACCAAAAATGGAACAGGGATAAACTATAAACAGACTTGCAGAGCCATGTTTTGTTCAAACTGGGTTTTATTATTTTTTTCTTTTCAGAAAGTACCTATGAAAAGTAAAACCACATTTAGGGAAAGGGAGTAATATGAAATTATGGTGAAAGGCCATGCTGTGAAAAAGGTACTTGGCTTACAATACCTGCAGTGTTCTCCAGAGGTACTGGGCCTGTCCAGAGGCAAACAAAGCACTCACCTCATCAACTGGCACTGAACAGCAGCTGAAAAGGGTGGACTGCCACACTGGGAACTATTCTCACTCCTAAGTGGGCCCCACTACCTTCCTGGCTCTCATGGAGAACACTGCCTTTATGAACAAACCAGAAAGAGCGGCAAATGCAGGACTCGCTCAGCCATACCTGATGGATTCTGCCAAAGTCATGAAAGTATACTTGATCATATCTTATCTCAATAAAGCAAACTAAAATCTTGAACTTTCAAAATGTATCACTCAGAGTAATCAGAAAATAAGCTTGGATGCAGAACGTGTATTTACCTATATAAGCTCTTTCTTGTTCCCGAGTAAGTCCAGGTGGGATAACTGTAGGCATTCCTGGAATCACTGTCTTCTGTTCCATTGTATCTTGGTTCCAGCGACTCCTCTTCCGTTTTTTACTTGGGAAGTCTAAAGGCAGAAAAAAGTACATCAGGCACAAATTTAAACAAGCAGAGGTGACTATCAATAGGCAGACCAAGACACACAGTGCACACAACCTCAGCATACTATAAACAGAACTTAACCTAAAATTTAAATACCAAAGGATGAAAAACAAACCTCACAAATGAAAAAGCACATCTACTATAAAGCACTTGGTCAGGCAAGCTAGTATTTCATATTTGTAATATGTCTGGAAGACCTCCATAAATCATGTAAATAAACAAGATAACAAATCTTTTTATTTTGTTGAGAGGCTAGGGCTCAAACCTAAAAACTCAAAAATGCTAAGCAAAGGGTCTACCACTCTTAACTGCACTCCATTTAACAAATCCTGATGGATATACAGATTGTTCACAAAGTGAAAATGCTAGTGAGTGCTTGTACGCAAAAGGTTGAGGTAGTCCAAGGCCAAACTGAAATAGAGACCCTGTCTCAAAAACAATGAGGCAGGTAATGTGGCAAATGGCTGGAATATGAGCACTCAAAAGGTTGAGGCAGAAGAACCAAAGCCAAGTGTGAGACCAGCCTGGGCTACATAGTGAGTTCAAGGCCACTCTCAACTACACAGTTGGACTCTGCCCCCCCCTCAAAATAATGATACTTTTTTTTTTGGGGGGGAAGGACTGGGGATTGAACTCAGGCCCTTGCGCTTGCCAGGCAAGTGCTTATTCCACTGAGCCATCTCCCCGGTCCAATGATATATACGTTATACTCCATGATTATATTTAACGAAAAATTTCAGAATCAAAGATATGCCTATAAAACAGCAACGGGGAACTCCTAGCTTCTCCCACCTCCATCTCTCATCTTTGAGGTTACAAAATCAAATGTATTATACACTAAGTGAAAAAGCATGACTGTCCAACACAATCACCCTTTTCTTCACAAGCATGGCCTAGAAAAGAATCTTTCCTGGAAAGCTAGTTGCATGTTTTTGGATTAGAACTCTTCAAGAACCCGGGCATGAATAGTGGCACACACATGTAATCTCAGCACTCCAGAAACTGAAAAAAATGACCCTGAGTTTGAGGACAGCCTGCGCCACACAGCAAGACCCTGTCAAAACAAAAGTCTAGAATTCCTTAAATACAGCAAAAACTCCAAAGGAAAAAAACTACACGAATAGCACCCAAATTATCTTTCCCTGGTATATACACATTTCCCTACATTTATCACAGAAAGTTTTCTACTTCCCAGGGGCTGCAGGTTCAGGATTAAAAACCTTTTCAAACACTTAAGTAGTAGTTGGTCAGATCCAAAACTCTCTAGAGTTAACAAAGAAAGTTAAAAGCTAAAAAGGACCCATCATCACCAGAAACCCTCCAACTTCATCATCTTGTATTTTAACACCCTGCCTTAACCTGTTAGGGCGGTGCACACCTGTAACCCCAGCACTCAGGAGTTTGAAACAGGATTACCACGAGTTCCACGCCAGCCTGAACTACACGGTGAGCGACCGTCTCCCAAAAAAAAAAAAAAAAAAGGTGCCTGTTACTATAAAAACATTTTTAGTATTTATTACCCCAATTCCTACAAAATTAGGAAAGGAATCGCTCTACATCGCCAGTGGACCCTATTACACCGTCCTAGCATTCACACTCAGCACCCCGGGCTCATCTCTGGATATTCTCAACACGCTAGCAAAAGGGCAGGAGGGGGAGCCTCCCTTCGGCTTTCGGAGTCGCGCCAAACCCGACCAAGCCGCTGCGCCTGCGCAGCGCGCACACACACACCCCACCGTCGCTCTCCCCCCTCCCCCAGCAGCGCGTGCGCAGTCGAGCCCCACGCATTGGGCCGCGCGCGCCCCGGGGAGCCTCCGCCTGGACCTCCCCGTGCGC